CCCAACCTTGCCCTTTTGCTGGCGTTTGTGCCCAGTCTGGAACCACACTCTGCTTGTAGACAGCACAGGCACGATGGGAGGCAGCCGCTGCGTGCAGCAGGGCTCTGCGGCTCCCAGAGGCAGGGGCCACAGCAGCTGGAGGCTGCCAGCCCCACGGAGCCCTGAGCCACCCTCCCCTCCCACACGTCACCGAGAGGCCACTGCCACTCGTGCTGGTGGGGAGCAAGATGGACCTGTGCCCTGGCCTGCCAGAGGCAGGGGGGTCCACACAGCCCACGGGCAGCAGCTGGCCATGGTGAGAGGTGCACCTCAGGGCCCCCAGGGCGGCAGAGACCCCACCGACACCCACCGCTCCCCCCATGCCCACAGCTCCGCTCTGCAGGGCCAGCGTCAAGGACAGTGCCAACGTGGTGGAGGCTGCGCTGCAGCCCGCCCGGTGAGGAGCCCTGCCTGCCGCCGCACCCAGCTCCGGGCTGCACAGGGCCAGCTGACACTGCTGCTCCTGGCCCTGCGGGGAAGCGAAGAGGACGGTGGGACAGACCAAAGGCCACCGCGCTGGACTGGACCTCAGCATCCCTCTGAGGGCAGCTCCGTGCTGCTGATCCTAGCGCAGGAGGCGGGCTGGCTGCGGCTTCACATCCTCTCCATGGGCAGTGCCCCGCTCCAACTGTGCCCACAGGGGTGCTGCGGCGCGGGCAGCTCACCCTGCTTCAGCTCCCACACCTGCACGTCCCACCGGCTGCAGGAGCAGCTCAGTCCATCCACAGGCCCAGCCGCCATCTCCCCAACCCCACATCGCCCCCCTGCAACCCGCCCCGAGCCCTCCCTCCTGCCCTCCCTCCAACCCGTCCCTCTCCAGCACAATCTTGTTCTGGTTTCACTCCTCTGGGCTTCCAGCAACCCCGTCCTCCCCAGGGTGTTTATCCCTCACCCCCCTCTGCCCACACCTTGCCTCTGAGGCTCCCCACAAGCCCACAGCTGCACTCGGGCTCCCGCTGGTGGCTCTGACCCCCCAGGCGACGCCCACGGAGACCTCGCAGGCCAGGCCCATCTTTGCTCCTCACCATGAGGATGCGGTTGCTCCACACCACAACAGCTGTGCTTGGTCCATCCTTCCTCTTCACCAGCACGACGCAGGGCCACCGATGCCCCCTCCCGGCCGG